AAAATAAAGTGCATCGCTTCTAGGGGACACCCTATCACGTACACAATGATCAAAATGAATCATGTCATGATTTTCCAACAAATTTTACACTGGTTGTCGACTACCTAACACAACTCTCAAGTTTTCACATTCTGGGCTTGGAACCCGGCAATGACAGTGTTAGAAAAATGAATTAACTAACAATATATGAAATTCATAAAATTTATTTCACATTAAAATATTCTTGTAACATCGCGTTTACAAAAAGGTAGTCTTGAAATTCTTCTTCAACATCATTATCTTCTGTTGCGTCATTCATAGCTTGCTGTGGTACTAAATAATTTTCTTAATTCATGAGATTTGGTAGTGAATAAAATAGAGATGTAATGAAATTCAAGTTTGTTAGAAATAGACGCAGACATGAGAATGTTCAGAAAATTTAAATCCAGATCTCTACCAAAAAAAGTAGTAGTCTTTAAATGATGAAACCTCATATGCCGATGGTACTGCATAGCTGGAGGGTCTTGCATAGTTGAAAATTCTTATGTAGCTGGATGATCCCGCAAATAGTGATTGGGCAGGATAATCAGATGAATCTGAATACTATTGTTTGTGCGACTCATGAAAAAAAGAAGTTTGTTTTCTCGCAACTGAAGATCTTCTTGGAGCATTTGTTTTTTATTGTCTCGTAGCGGGGGAAGACGACCAGAGCATCAAAAGTTGAGTTATGGGGGTCTTGCGGTCTGACATCTGTTCTATGAGACAACCCCACTTTGAAATCATGTCCACTTAGTTGATCAAATGCACTATGATCAATATGATTTGATTCTTTCACTTTGTATGATAGCTCCAATATCTCATCACACCCTTGTTTCATGAAAATAGCGCTTGTGCCATGATCCCCTCCAAAATTTTTTGTGATATCCTTGCTATGAGTGAAGTAATCAATCTGTATAGTTGAAAATTTTAATTTATTATTATGTCTTATAATAAAAGAAAACTGTAGTAGCTATAGAATATAGTAAATCCATACCACTATTTTCTCTCCTGGTGAACACGGGTAATATGAATCTGGCGGCTGAGTAGGAGGTTTCACTATGTAGAGTGGTGTCCAAGATTGATACTAATGCAAATAATGAATCATATTCTTCTTTCCTATTTCCTTGTGGTGGGTTGAATAATACTACATATGCCCAATAATTATTTCATATCTCGATATAGTTACGATAATATTGCTCCTAGTCAAGTCCTACTTTATCTTGCCAATCGACTCTCTCAAAATCTTATTCGATGAGTTCAATCGATATAGACTGAATGCCAGAAAACCATCACATAATGTGATCTAGTAGGTGTCACTCAGTACACTTCCAACTTATTAGTGGGACACGGGCAATCCAAATATTTAAGTTCTCAAAATATATGTCATGTAATAACAACATATATACATCTAAATATGGTGCCCAAATAACCCGACTTTCAGGTTATAAATTTAATTATATTTAGTACAAATATATAAAAAATAATGAGATTAAATAAAAAAAGAGTATAATACCTGATTCAGTCTGAGTTCATCAAGTTTATCTCTATTTATTTTGATATTTTCAACTGACACTTCACGTATCAACTCTTCATTCTATCAACATATTATTTAAACAAAGAGCTCAATCTAATTAAAAAAAATTGTGTGTATCTATATAAATATAAAGATTAATTTTGTACCTAAATCTGAATGATTTGCCGGATAATTCATGAGAAGTCAGAACATGAAGAGTGAGCCTATCAACATGTAAGTGCTCCTAGCACTACATTTGGAGCAAGTGCATATATCCAACAATCATAAAACGAGTAGCCTTAGTTGATAGATTTAATTTTCTATATAGATGTGTGTTTTTGTTCTTTTTCTCATTTTATTTTTAAAAGAGTAGTCAGTTTGTCTATCGTCGTCTACTTACCTTTTTCAAATTAATATCTCTTCTGGATTATTTGAGTGATCAGGAGAAGAGAGCAACTGAAGAAGACGGACATATGATAAAGTCGAAAAATAAGAGAATAAACATGGAGAGTCTACGTGCAATAAACCTCGCAATGATAGGTCAAGTATGTCCGCCTAAACAAAATCAGACAGAAACATCTTGGACCACTATTTGTGAAAGAATTTCTACTTAGATTACCCAGTACCAGAGATTCAAGTGTGTTTGCCTGTTCTAGGATATAGAGTACTCCCAAGGGGACGTATCCCACTTGGTTAATGATATCTTGGAGGTTGCCCAAGAATACTCTTGATCTGAAGGAGTTTTGCTTACATTGGTGATGACGATTGACACATGGCTATCAAAACATGAGTATCTTGTAGGGGAATGCTCCAAAGCTTTCAAAGCTCCCGCTAAGCTACGGGGCGGAGAGTGAGTCTCTCGCGACCCCTACATGTATGACGAATTCATCGGCATATGAAGCCTGCAAAATAATTGAATTATCCCAATAGGAAATACTGATACATCAAAGCACATCCAGGTCATAAAAGCAAAGAATAAATCATCGTATCTCAAATGGGTGACAACTCATCGACAATCAGACCATCGAGATGATACCAACGAAGGTAATATAAGCGACAAGGCTCGATCGGGGCAGTCAAAGAAAGGGAGAAGTTCCTAAAAGGTAGAGGTAGTCGGGTCAGTGTACCACAGACCCGTCATCCCATGTCACTAAGACCCTAAGTCTGTTTGGTCTCGAAAGTAGTTAACCCAACACGTCCAAAGATCCTCGGTCAGCAATACGTAAATTACGTCATCCACGCATGACCTCGGTAGTCCTAAAGTTAGAAGAACAAAACTCTATTCTATGACTATCAGGTGAAGCTCCAAAATGTGGGACTTATACTTGTCGAAATGATAAGGATGCCCCTAAAAAAGAGGAGAAAAGGAGGTTCAACTACAAAACTGAAAATACTCTCAACAAAAGAACTTATACCCCATAGGGGTTAGGGAGCAGTATAATGACCTACACGTACTAGAGAACCACATTAGTAGAAATATATGTTTGGTCAAACAGGTTGGAGAAGCACGGAGGCTTCTCTTCGTGACATACAAATGATGCAATTATCTGGAGCGATCCTTAGATATTGTGGAGTCCCTATTAGATGACTTGAGTTATGCCCATGCAATGCCGCCATTTTAAAATCGGCACGAAGACAATGCATGAAAGTAAAAGACATATTTTAAACAATTCTGAATCTTTTAATCCTAAATTTTAATTTATCTTGAATCTTTTATTATGATTTTTTATGTAGAAAAATTTACAATTTTAAGGTTTTAGAGAGCCTAAAATGCAATTTTTGTGAAATCCTAGATAAACCAGAATAAAAAAAGAGAGGCCATAGGAAGTAAAAGCCCTCCAAAATATATAAAAGAGGTCGGTGTCGCTAAGTCAGCAACATATCATAGGAAAAAACATGAAAGACGGCTAGACTCTGCATATACATGCCTAGTCCTAGATCTATACAAAAAAATATAGAATTCAAACTTAAGGTACGGGACACGAGCTACAGCTCCTAGCCCTTGCCACGTGGTTCGATGTTTTGTCCGCCTCGAAACTCATGCTCATACCTTATTTTTGATACAGACTCAGCCTAGGAACTCTATCAAATACATTTGAAAGAGAAAATAATGACTCGACATGCATGTCACTAGGAATTTGTGTGGCTCTCTGGTTACGCATCATGCTCTGAGAACTATGTCTTCTAGTCTCGGTTCCCTTACAGTTGTTTTGCGATAACAAGGCAACCATTAGCATTGCTCAATCTGATCCAGCATGATCGCACCAAACATGTTGAGATTGACTGACACTTCATTAAGGAAAATCTTGAGTCCGGGAAAATTTGTGTTCCGTTTGTACCATATAATAGCCAAGTGACAGATATACTCACAAAGAATGTTCCTCAGCCACTATTTGATTAGTTCAAGTCCAAGTTGAACATGCTAACATCTATGTTACAACTTGAGGGAGAGTATTAGAATATATTAGTGGCCAGTAATAGCCATTATTTATTTTTTATTATTCTTAGTTATTTTCTGTGATTTCCTTCCTTTTTCTATTATATTCTGCTTTTATTTATTTTCTTTTTTTATTATATCATGAGTTTTTTTTTTCTTTCCTTTCTAGTTGATCCTGTAATAGGTATATATACACATATTTATATCAATAAGAAATTAACCTGGTTCTATTTCCAACATCTTCCATAAATTCTAAGTTTTGACAATAGTTGTAAATCCTTCAATTATTGTAAGCACCTATTAAAATCACTACCAACCAGGCAGAGTACATTTACAAGCTCTCAACTTATTGCTTTATATAAATAGGCACAAACTTCAAAATTTGTTATTCAAATTTGCATGTGAAAGAATTGTTAAAAATCATCATCAACAACAACAACAACAACAACAACAATCCTTCATCCCACAAAATAAGAAGATTTATTTAGAAGTGAGCAACAACCCCATTAAAAGCCAAAATGAACTTCATAGAAATAAAGCTTGCTCATAAACACTATGTTCAACAATAGCAACAAGACTGAGCTCGTGAACTTTGAGAGGTTTTTAAAGTTTTTCTTGGCTTTAAGCTTCACAAGGCCCTTTATAATCCAAATTAATAACTTAATCATTGAGTATAAGGTACAATCTTGTAATTTGCTTGGATCAATTAATTGCTTAATTATTTATTTTTGCCCTTTTCCTTGGTAACTCCCATAAATCCTTTAAAAGGAGCAATAATCGATTTTTTTCCTTATAGACGGGTAAGTCCATAGCTTGGTCATCAGGCAAGTTAACAAGGGTAATGTTAGCAAAATTTAAGGTCTAAAAAGACAATAATATTATTCAATCTAACTTATTATTATCATTAATACAGGCGAGCAGAGGTCATTTGCACATAATGTTATTGAATGTAGCAATAATATTCAACTAAGCCAAACTTTTGAATCATGTTGGATGAAAATATTAATCTCAACAAAAAATGCAAGCACAAGATGGCCAAAAGCTTATCAAATTCATTAAAAATGGAAATTTGGTACATTAAAAAATGTAGGTATAGCAAAAAATCATCCTCCACATCAATAAACCAATTAGATTGCAAAAGAAAGCACAGTTAAAATTTTATTCTCAGACACTAGAAGAACATTATTTGAAGCATGAGAAGACCCACACGCTTACCCAAACTCAAGACAGCAGCACATCGAAAATCTTTAAAAAGTTTAAACAGAAACATACATTCATTTGCCTTCACCAATCAGTACATCTGAAACTTCTCCTTTGTTTTCTGGAAGACTTGCTCCGCAATAATGGCTCCATTAGCATCAGCTTGCTTGATCTCAAGGTTGGCTTTCTGGTAGAACGCAGTGCCTCTCAGCGCATCAGCTATAAAATCATCAAAGCCAATAGCAATTGCGGCCTCTGCTTTGGCTCCATATACCAACCTCTGAATCAATGAAATAGACCACATAATCATTGAGCATTTCAATTTTAGTTTTGATTTGTTTTTGTTCTTACCTTGATTTATTCATGTTATGCAATTGATACGATGAACAACAAAAAGAAATAAAGAGAATAACACATGAATTTACGTGAAAAACTCTAGACAGAAAAACTACTGTAGCACTCTAGATGAGAGTGAGGTCCAATGCTACACAATCACTTAACTACTGGTAATTTCTTCCATATGAATCTTCCATTCAATTCAACTTTCTTAGGAGTAGAATGTATTTGAAGTTCAAAAAAATAAAAATAATAAGGTTGAAGGTCATTACCTTAATTCGTGATAGATGTATTGCACCAAAGCACATTGGACAGGGCTCACAAGATGCATATATTTCACAATCTGAAAGCTCGAGTTTCCCAAGTTTTTTACAAGCCTGAAATAGAAGGCCTCATCGGCTGTCAGATATTATAAAAAAAAATAGCACTAAGATACCCAAATTCAGAATTTTAACATGTTTCCTAATGTTAGAAGCTGTATACAAATAAGCACGAGTATATATTATTATGTTAACCGTATTTAAATGGTAAATTACTGATTTCAAGTCTGATGAAATTATTGATTATTAGAAGAATATAAAAGTTGAATAATTTACTGATCAGAGTAAATAACATTGGTTGTGAAACAATTTTAACATAGTAAAAAATATATTGATGATCACGTAGCTCACTTAGTCGCATGTATGGACTGATTAATTATGTAATTTTAGTTTTGATTTCACAGTAGTACTCTACACTCTACATGCTGGGAATGAAGGGATCTTATTAATCAGATTACTTGATGCCAGCACTAGGAGGAATCTAAATATGCTTTTGCCTTTGCATCTAATAATTATTCGGGAATCAACAATTTAGTGATATATATATATATATATATCAAAATTGAAAAAAAAATAAAACTTTTTGTCAGCGATTCTCAAGTTGAGACAGAATAAATTAAGACAAGCAAAAAAACACAAATTTTCAATGCTTCTGTCAGTAATTCACAATCAAAAGATTAAATAAGATCAGTGCCATAACCGTAAAATGCTAAAAATAAAGATTCGTCACATATTTGATATTTTTTTCTTGTTTCTTTAAACTTGCGTGTAAGCTTCTTTAAAAATACCAAGTATAGTTTGGGGCTCATTTGGTTTCTTCAACAAAGAAGGCATGTTTTCAATTTTTTTTTTTAATTTTTAGAGATTTTATCATTTGGTCGGATGTAATTATAGATCAATATGGACTTTTAACTCGATGATCACCTTCTAAATCAAACTGAGGATTTTATTCCTGTGATCCAAATGAGTGAAAATAAAATCATCATTTTCTAAATATATGATTTCCATCTACAAGCAGCAAGATGAGCACGCATAGAAATTATGATTATAGATTTTTTATTTTTATTCTCTTCTATGTGAATGTATTTTCCATTGTGCAACCCTATTTCATGCACCTTATAATCTTATTTCTATATCGCCGATTTTCGAGAGAACTAAAATCTTATATCTTTCATTCTGTTACATGATACATAAGCTGAAGTAGATTTATAGCTAGAAGAAGCAAAATTCTTTACCAACTCTACTGTATAATAAGCATTATTAAATATTTCTCATATCCAAAAATATTACCCTTTATACATTATTTATAAGTGTTATGATATAACATCCTACCGTTATTCTTACCTCTTTATCCGAACATGTTTATGTCCATGCCTTGTCATTTATACCTAGCGGGATTCACCTACTGAAGCTTGTTTCTTACAAACAGCTATTACTTTATGATTCTGATATAACTAGTTGTGCATCATTTAAAGGGAGAATTTCTAGATCTACTTTTCAAAGACATCATCGTAGGTGTTTAAGCTTAAATTATTTGATTGATTCAATAGTGCAGTTAAATTTAATTAACATTTTGGTGGATTTTTGAAGAAGTTATTAAATTTAGATGCTATGAGGATCTTATTGATGTCGGTCAAATTTTTTTTTTCGATTAGATTGATTTAGATTTATTTGAAAAATATGATATATGAAAATAATTTTTGAGATTTAATTTAAATATAAAAGATATATAGTTTGGGTTTTGAAAGTAGTGTGTTTTAGTTTTTGAAAAATGAGACCAAATGGATCTCATTCGTCCAATAGTTTGCATAATCGTGTCTGATACCGCGAATACTACACCCTCCCGAAAGATAAGTGTAGACCTCGGCGATAGACCCAATCCAGCAAACTAAGAGATTTGTGACATCCGTTTAGTCTGCGAACCTTTTATATATGACCGACAAATTCCCCTATTTAATACAAAGATTAAATAAGGTTTATTTTATCTGGGTTCCAAGTTCCCTATAGAGGCAAGCCCCTATAGTTAATTACATCTCAAATGACGGGAGTCGTTTTCACTCTCGATAATGATCAATGGTTCTAGTCTTCAAGAATTCAAGGTTCAGGTTTTCAAGGTAGGACGTAGAAGGGCAAATGGGAGTGGCTCAAACATGAACAGTTATTTCAGGAGTCCAAATAAAAGAAAA